ACTGTTCTAGGAACACTTTTCTAAACCAAATAATTGGTCGTTATTTCTTATTATGCTATAATTTTTTATAGTATGTTTACTAATTTAACATCTGTACCTGAAAATGTTATAAAACAAAGTACATTTAGGCCACAGGCTCCTGAACTCAGGAACTGTATTTTGAAGCACACTGCTATGAGAACTCCTCATTTGGCAGTTATACATTCTTTCTCTCGACATAGCTAAAAAACAAAAAAAAAGTTTGAGGCCACTTTTAGCGGGTTATTGTACACAAACAAAGCCAGAGGGCAAGGGTCCCACAATTGCAGCTGCAGCAATTTTCAGCATGTCACATTGCTGAGCAGAGAAAACTGAGGGCTGAGGGCAATAAGACCAATACCAGAGTTTGCTTGAAGCACCAAAAAAACAAAAAAAGAAACCCAATTGTTTTTTCTGTTTTTCTTCCTTATCCGGATAAATGAGTAATGTCACACTCTAAAGCACTATCCTCGTCGGTCTGACATCTTTGGACCCCAGCTCAGTTCATACATCATTTTCTTTTCTTTTCTATGGCTGCCACTGCTGGTTCATCCCATAAATAAACACCTGGCTCCTGCTTCTGTTCCCGCTCCTGCAGAGGAGGAGTGTGAATAAAAACTCATTTTCCTCATCTTCCTTGCAACTCACCTGTCCTCCAGCAGCCTGGTCATGCAGCCCTGGCACAGGAAGCAATAAGTCTCCTCTGCCCGGAGTGTCTCCATCACACTGACAGGAGCCTCTGTGAAGGGGCCAAAGGCAAGAGAATAAATGAGCCACATTTGCAGGAAGGACAGTAACCTTGTACTGCAGAGCACCAAAACTGATAAAACACTGGGAGGTGACGGTGAGAGGGCAATCACCATGATGTGCTTCAGGCATCACGGAGGCTGAACTTAGCTTTGGTCTTATATCAAGAGACACAGGGGAAAAAAAAAATCAACCAAAATCCAAGAAATAGACCGTAGCAATTTAGAGGTGAAGACATTAGATCAAGAATACCTAAATTTGTCGATCAAAACCGGTCAGATGTTTGAAATGATATGGATGTGAACTGACTAAATTTTAATGGAAATCCATTTGAAGCTATTTTGAAAGGGTAAATTAAAAAGAAAAATGTGTCCTCACTCACTAATGTAATTATTTTCACTACAGTTTAGAAATCCTGCAACAGACTCTAAATGGAGACTGATGCAAAGTAAGATGGGTAAATCAGTAACTAGTCTGTGTACCAAGATTGGGTATAACAGGAGCATCTACTAAAGGTTCAGTCTTGGCAAACACACCCTCTGTTAAACCTTGTACTGTATCTCAGAATGTCAGTCAGAGTATGTTACTTTACTGATCGCCAGAAGGAATTTGTTGATTTACAAATCTCTATGCTAGTAGGCACACTCTGAAAAGTATATTAATTTGACACTTCTCTATTATGATATATATATATATATATATATACTGTATATATATATATATTGTCAGAGAATAACGTTTTTATTTAAATTGTAATCATATGCGGGGCTTTTAAGCACCAAGGAAAGAAAGAACTGCACTATCACTATTGTGACTAAGTGACCGAGGACAAAATATGACTCATACCTTCGCATAAGTCGTGTGAAACCATGATGCGCAGTCGGAAATGCATCTCCTCGATACACGATTCTCCGGCAGGCGTTGGAACACAGGACCCCGATTCAAAAGCGACCCCTGCTGGCAAGGCCACGCGCAATTCTCCTTGCAGGGTGCGAATGCAAAGGGACGAAGCTCCGCCAGTTACAGCAACATCAGCTGGACTTTTAGCCGCATCTTTACTGCGGAGAAAACAGTTTCATATTACCACCAACAATATTTTTGTAGATTATTCACAAATAAACTATCTAACCAACAAAGAACAATCCCGTTAGGTCCTGCTAATGAAGATTATAGGCAGCCTTTCTATTTTTCAGCCAGTGGACGAAGATAACAGCTAGAATAAATTATTTTATCTTAAAAAAAAGAATAAGAAAAGTAAATATCAGCATTTTTTATTGACATACAGATAGTATTTTTCTCTTAACCTAGCATATCAGTTATGTTAGAATTACGGGAAATTATTCCAAATTACTGGTCACTTGGACCATAAATACGACCTGTACTCTGCAGAGAAGTGCTGCCTCAGGGAGAGAAGAGTAAGGAGTGAACACATGAAGGCCACTTTAGCTGACAGGACATAGTTTAAGTGAACAATGAACCGCAGGCAGACAGAGCAGATCCTCTGGATATAAGGCTGTACTTAACACTGACAGCACCTATAACGGCGTGATGTCCATTTTTAAATTGGAGCAGCTTAACACTGCAAGTTCCAAAATTCTGGCTCACAGAACTAAAAAGAAACAGATAAAATTAATGTTGATTTAAAGAACATTACTTATGTCTTTGAGCTGTAAGTTAAGTCCCACTTCTTGCATAGTTGAGAATAATAACTGCTATTTATGTAGGCTGTAGTCACTAACACATCGCTAATGTTGTGGTTGTGTGTTTCAGATTTTCCACTCCAGTGCATCAGTAGCTACAGCCAATAATAAACTCCTAAACTGCTAAAAAAAACGTGATGAAGCCATTATGTTGCATAATATTTTTCACTGGTACACATATTAGAATTTGGCATACATTTTATGAAGTAATATTTCACATACATTAGCTTTAAGGCCTTCACATATGCCCCAGTCCTCTTAACGTTGTTATAGCAGTGCAAATAAAAATAAAAGGAGTCTTCCCAGGGACAGGAACAGTGCTTAGAAAGTATGTATGCAAGAAAATCACGTTTTGTTGAAACCTCTTTGGCTCCATCTAGCGGTACTAAACGCTAAAATAAAATACTACTATTGTTTTTAAACTGTTAATTATAATTATAGTTTCAAAATATGCCTTGAATAAAATGATCGAATAACAAGAACCATCCCACTTTTTGAAACTTGGTAGAACAGAAAAATATAAGGAGTGGCCTTGCAGCTCAGGATATAGTACAACAAGGGATTTATTACAACCATATGCTTTAGAAGACCAAATTACAAAAATTAATAATTAATAAATAAAAAACACCATAATTGTTGCAGTTCTATAAGGAAGAATCAGAACGCCATTTGATTTTGTGTTCGCCAATGGGTATTTATAAATTGCCTGGTTTATCATGCAATAGTTAGCTTATGCTTAATTATCTTCACAGAGATGTTTTCATTATATTGAAAATAATATAACTAATGGAAATTCTTAAATCTAAAACATTGCATCATTTGTTTATTGCCTTTGTTCCGTTAGTTAAATAATAATGTAAACTTAATTGCAGTTGTCAATATGAGATCTTCAAATCCTTCAACCATGTGCTTGTTTTATCTATGTGCTTTTTTCATAACTAAGGATTTAAAGCTTGATTAACATTTTGGGGTCTCTTTTATGCACATTCAATTTAAGTGAAAAGTCCTAAGTCAATTATTATTATAAGAATATTAGGGTGTAACCATATTATAACCTCCAATTTGACCTTTCTTTTACTCAGTCACACACACAAGATTTCAAGAATCCATCCGTAAACTGAACCCAGCTTACGGTCGGGTTGCACACCTTATCACTGCCTTTGTATAAACACGAGTTTTGTCTCGCTTAATACTGATGTATTTTACTGACAATTCCCAATTCAAAATTTGTAACAGATCTCAGAGGCAGCATTAAAGCGCATGTAACACCTCGTGTCACTTAAATGAATATTAAATGATAGAGTCGTAGCTCCTAGTTTTAGCTTAAGACAGTGTGTTAAAACTAGCTATTGGACTTAGCTAGCAAAGCTAGCATTTCACATTAATTACAACGTAAAACACGTGCAGTAGTTGTTTTTGTTCACGTGATTCTCTATGAATGTCTTACCCAACAATCAGGAGTCCACTCTGTAGCCTTTTCCTCAGCTCTAAAAAAACCCCAAGCCTATGTGTTTTCGTTGGCATCTCAAAGTTTGCCATTGAGTAAATGTAATATTAACGCATGGAAGTACCAATATATGAAAAAAATACTCATGCATAAAGGGTATGTTAATTTTATATTTTAAAAAATAGCACAAACGTGTGTTTATCTGGTCTATCCGGCGTCTTTTTCGTATTTGCGGCGTGGTAGTGTTTTACCGGTATAAAGTGAGCGCCCGGGTAAGCTTTTCAAAACAAGACGTTAACGGTAGTTGTGTTTGGGAATTGTAATTGGAAATTTGACAATACTCTATTTTATTTTGAAGACTTAGCTCTTACTTTCTTTTGCATACAGTCGTTAACTTGACAGTGTGGCTCAGAGGCGGAAGACCATCCAGTCCATGCGGAAGAGCAGCGGTTGTTCTCTGTGGTTGGATGTACGGCAGCTAATCTGCACTGCAGGGTCTGTCAGACCTTTCACTTTGTTTCTCTTCTGGCAACTAAAGCTTATAATGCGTTTGTCATCGTGTTTTTTTTATATATATATATACAGTGGGCGATAGAGTGTTAAATAACACTATGTAAAAATAGAGTCACTAGCTGTCTGTTTCCAAAGCTCTCCTGTGAAGGAAGCTGACTTGTATGAACGGTTGACATCAGAGCCGGGGCCCTGCATCTCCATCACCGGCTATTAGTGTTAGCGAGCTTAAGTGTCGGTCCAGTCCTCACTTCCAGTCGAATAAATGGATGAATGACAGTGATTGCCGTAGATCGTATGAAGGTAGGCTTTTATTTTAACAGTATTTAAAACGTAGCTAAGTGTCATAAACGTTACTGTTAGCTGTTATCACCTCCCCAAGCTAAGGTTCAGAGCTATTAGCGAAAGCGGTTACTGTCATATTAAATTTTCACTTAACAGTTAGACAGCAATTACGTATGTAAATAATATTCGTGACACATACATGTCTGTTTTCAGTTCTTTAAATAACAACCACGTCATTATTTTCCCTCCTGCTGACATATGTAGGGCAGCTGTTCTCAGGTGTTGACACCAAGACACAATGGTGTTTAAAGTTTCTACTAAAACAAACACTGACGTGTGACGTGTGTACAATTGTAGCAGTGTGCTCGCTATTTTTAGGTTCATTCTTGTTGAGGACTCACACATTTCACTAGAATGTTAAATATATACAAAATATAATAAAACAAGTGATATATAATTAGTCACCGCACAACTGCAACATTTATAAATAGATAACAGGTGAAGGACTCTTGATCTTGTTTGTCAGTATGTCAAGTTAAATTAGCTTTTTACGCTTGAATAGGAATTCATCTTATACTTCTTAAACTTTTAAATGGATGAGTGGGTCACTAGAATCTGTAACAGTCACTGGGTGATGGTGGGCTACTCCCGAGACTGGACCCCATAAATTTGAAACGCCAATTCATACTTTTTTTTTTGGTTTCTGGGAGAAAACCACAGTACCTGGAAAGAACATCTAACTTCTTCAACCACACAATATTGTCCCAGTGCTGTCAGGACCATGAAGGAGAAAGAACGGATAATTCCTCCTGCAGCGACTTCATAATTGTTATCAAAGTTCAAGAGAAATTTGGTATTAAAAAAAGTAAAAACTCTACACACACACACTATACACTTTACACATTTAAATACATTGCAAATGTACATTGCAAATGTTGGATACAAATACATTTGTATGCAACTATATGCTCATTATTTCTCACAAGAGAATGAGTTGGCACATGGCTATTTTTCAGAATCAAATCAGGATCCTAAAAAAACGTTGGCACTCCTCTTACAGATATATCAAATATTTACAGTGTTTGTAGTAGGGCTGCAACTTATGACTAAGTTGCTGACATTGTGGTAGGTTGATACAGAGGAGCAGGCGTGATTTTTGTTACAGATTCATAATCACTTACTGATGCAATTTCCTCTCAATGGGTGTTGAACCATTGGTTAATGTTGTAACTTTACTGGATTACAGGTGTGGTGAGTCACAATGTCTATGATGGAAAAGACTTAAACCTTGGTTCAACACAGAACTAATAGTGAGTTGTATCTAAATCAGGGTCTTTTTAATTGTTTTATTGAGTAGAAACACAATAAAAAAGTAAGATGTCTTTAACTTATTGGCATGGTCATCTTCACTCTTGTAAAATGCGTAATGTGACACTTTTTTATTTTAAAGACTTTTTAACCCACCCTGATGGGGAGTATACTTGAGGAATATCGCAGCAGTTTTATTGTGGGAAAGTTGAAACTTTTTTTGGAGGTCATCATATGACTCAGTGTCCTGTCATCTCATGCGTCTGTCCCAAATGGATAAAACGAAGATATTAATGGCTGATTCTGTCACAGATTTCTCCCTGATGATGTACATGACTCACCTCTTTAAAAAAGGCTTACTGCAACATCTGTGCACAATTTAAGCCTATATTACAATTTTATTAACTTCAACCTCTTTCCATGGACATATATGAAGTTTATTTTACTTAAGATCATAATATGTGTGCAATTCCCTCAGCCTCACCTTTGTCTCCTATGTTTTCTTTCTCTTTCTTTTATTTCAGTTGCTGGTGTGGTGTATATATGTCTCCTTGGTGATTTTACTTAGTATAAAAAAAACCTGCCCAGTAGAATGAATGCAGAGGAAGTGGAGCTGCTCGGTGACTCCAAGTACAGGAACTATGTGGCAGCGGTGGACAAAGCCCTCAAGAACTTTGAGTACTCCAGTGAGTGGGCAGATCTCATCTCTGCACTGGGGAAACTCAACAAGGTAAGATTCGACAGGCACAGCTCAAATGACAACGTGCTGTTACAGCAGAGCAGCAGACTTGCATAACTCGGCTCCAAGCTATATTCATCTATTAACATACAGTACTGTATCATTATTTCCATTGGTTTCCATACGGAAGACAAGAAGGTTATGGAGGATGCCTGGAGTTATGGCAGCAGAGATGTGAAAGTGTCTTGAGACTATGTGCATCTGAAATGTTCTGACACATAGTTTAACTTTTATTGGTTATTATACCATGACTACATGCAGAAACCTTGCACAAAATTCTTGTCATTTGTTAATATTCTCTCATCCTTTTCAAGGGCCTTGAGTAAGCAGTTTCTTACAACCATGATACATTACCTGCAGTACATGCATTTAGTCACTGCTTTATTAGAAAATTGCATCAAGGAGTGGTTGAACAGATCCCCCAATAATTTAGCATCACTACAGCCTTTTCTTGTCCTGATGAGTTATAAATATGAAATGCTCTAAATGTCAATATTTATATTTCCACACTCAAACAGGAGTTCCCCTCCTATTAACTATCAATAATAATTAGGAATATTAACATTAAAGTTGAGTTAGTCTTTTAGGAATAATAACACAGTAAACTAACAAGTTTCTCAGGGGACTTTTTTATAAGGGGCAGATATCATTGTGCATTATTACATAATAGTCGTGCAGTATTCTGATTCTAGCTCTATTGTTAACATGACCCATGTAACCTTTATTTTAGTTTGAATTCCACCCCCTTGGTATTGTAGTGTCACACGCACGCATGCAGTGCATTCCTTTATCTATCTATTTTAATCTTTTTAAATAATCCATCTCAGGTTTTACAGAACAATGCAAAATATCAAGTGGTTCCCAAGAAGCTGACAATAGGCAAACGGTTGGCCCAGTGCCTCCACCCCGCCCTGCCCAGTGGTGTCCATCGTAAGGCCTTGGAAACGTATGAGATCATCTTCAAGATCATTGGCTCAAAGCGTCTTGCCAAGGATCTCTTTCTATACAGGTAACAATGTATTAATAAAAGTCAAGAAATTGTCTCATCAGAATATTTTCTACCAGTATTTGACCAAAGGCATCTATTCTTTACCTCCCCAGCTCCGGGCTCTTCCCTTTACTTTCTAATGCTGCTATGTCTGTAAAGCCTGTGCTTTTGGGGCTCTATGAAACCTACTACCTGCCCCTGGGGAAAACTCTGAAGCCAGGTCTGCAAGGACTGCTGACTGGGGTCCTGCCTGGTTTGGAGGAAGGATCTGAGTACTATGACAGGTGAGGAGAGCAGAAAAATGTAGCTGTGCACGTACAGGCCACAGATCAGGCCATAGTCAGAAGACATTTTTTTAGCATTGTGGTGAAAGACATTGATTTTCCTTTGTATAAATGATACATGAGATACAGTATGAGTCACTGCAGAAATCAATATTTCCAACAGAAGGCAGCAGATGTGTCTGCCTAGAAATGTAAACCATATTTCGTCTGACACTCATCTGTAGTATCATACCAGGCTGACAACTCTAATGTATTGGAGTAGTAGAACTCATGTATTTTCAGTGCTTTCTTGAAGTCTAAGTACTAAGAGGTCTAAGTACAGTAATGTGACCAATGTCATATTAATCTGTCTATGTGAATGTCGAACTGTGGGATATGTGACTTTAGAACCAATATGTCAAAACTTTTATGAAATATCAGCTCTTTTTTTGCTTCCTGTCAATATATAGTTATATATTACTCTTTGCTGCCTCTTTGCTTTTTATATAACAGTAAATGGATGTAGTAAATAAAACTCTAATGGCCTCATAAACAGTAAAGTTCATTTTAAAACTCTAATGGCCTCATAAACAGTACAGTACAGTCATCAGTCATGATGAAGTGTGGGTGTGAAAATAACAGTTTGACCACTGAGTTCACAATCTTAGAGGATAATTTAATCCCATATTCTGATAAATTGTTGACCACTTATAACTGAGATCATTGATATGCTGACCAGCAGAGCAGCAGAGGGCTAGGAAGTAATAAACTGAGGAACAATAGAGTTCTCCTTTATTAGAAAATGTATTGCTTAAGATGCACTCACCTTTATTTACATGAACCGTAACAATTTCTAGTGCAGACTGTTTTGCATCTCTTTTTTTGCATTGCTTGGCATAAATTAAATGCCTCTGTAATCCCCAAAAAATGTCTTCCTACCTACACATTTATCATAGGACTAACACCCTGCTTGAGAAAGTGGCTGCAGCCGTGGAGCAGTCGGCCTTTTACAGTGCCTTGTGGGGCAGCATCCTGACCAGCCCTGCTGTGCGTCTCCCTGGGATTTCCTTTGTCCTCCTGCACCTGAATCGTAAGCTCTCCATGGAAGACCAGCTTTACATCATCGGCAGTGACATCGAACTCATGGTATGTGAGAGACTTTACATAATTGGTCTGATCTGCTTCAGAGTAGACATGGAATATTCATTTAGTCTGAAAAAAAGGTTTCTATATATTTATTTGTGTGACCAGTAGAAGCAGTGGCTTAAAGTGACAGTCAAGCTGTGATTTAAGTAACTATATAAGTCTGTTTTAGTATTGTGTTGTTTACCATGGTTTACTATACTCTACCATTGTCAACAGGTAGAGGCGGTCAGTACCTCCGTCCAGGACTCCAGCGTGTTGGTGCAGAGAAGCACCCTGGACCTGATCCTCTTCTGCTTCCCCTTCCACATGAGCCAAGTAAGTAAATAAAGACATTTGTGTCAAATATCTGCAATAATGCTTAATTTGCTTGAACATTTATGATAAGTATAATATCAAATAACAACTCTTTCTTTTTTTTATTCTTTATTTATTTAATTTAAGGCAACTCGTCCCGACATGATTCGGATCCTGGCTGCAGCTTTGCATGTGGTTTTGAGAAGAGACATGTCCCTCAACCGCAGACTCTATGCCTGGCTGCTGGGTATGAAATATACACACACACAAACACACTGGTACAGCCATGTCACACGGTTTTGGACTGGCTGGTCCAAAAGTCAATTTAACCAGATATAGATAATGAGAAATGCAAGAAAGAATTGAGTGAAGAGAACAGCCAAAACAGGGAGCAAAGCTTAACAACAAAAATCTGACCTCTGATCTCTCTACCTTGCTTTGCCTTGTAGGTTCATTATGTATTTATATATATATACTGTATATATCTGTCTCTGATGGTGAACTTTTAAAATTGCCATGATTATGTACTTCTCCTAACTGCACAAGTTGAATTCATTGTTCTTTTTTTTACAACTCACTGTGGATGATGGCCCTGGTAAGTGTGTCTCTGCATGGACTCCACATTTATCAAGCTCAGAGCATTATCTGAAGCTTTGGCAGTGATTACGGTGTTAGACTATCACAGATGAGTTAGCAGAAAGGATAAAAGAACACAGTGAATGTGGATTGAAGGTCAGAGGCACATGATATACAGCACAGTGTGAGACTAACATCAGTTGTAAATCACATTAGAGGCCAGCAGGATTTTTTTTTAATCTAGTGATAAATTATTCTATCTTGTCTCTGACATTGGAAATATCGTCCTGTTCCATGGATAAATCTAATAAAAGTAAAAGCAGTAAAAGCAAAAGGAAAAGGAAGACAGACTATTGTCTATTTTTAGGTTTTTGGATTTAGGATTTTTAGAAGCGTTACGAGTAATTGCTAATGTTATTATTTTCGTTTTTTCTAAGGCTTTGATAACAATGGGGTGATGATAGGCCCACGCAGTACTGGACATAACAACCCGGGGGAGCACGCTAGTCACTACTTCAACACTTTCTCTAAGGACATGCTGGTCCAGGTGAGGTTTAAAGCTTGTTTATGTGTTAACATGGAGTCAGGTCCAGTCTTCTTTATCCTCTGTAGATGCCCCATGCCTCCCACAGTGCTATTGTGTACATTAACAATCCATGTAGTTCTGTCGGATATTTCCAAAAAGTTTAAATAAGTCAACAACATATCATTAATATTGTAAAAAATATTCTTTTTTTGGACATAATATGATGCAATTTGGGCTATAAGACAGTGGAACAGGTTACAGTTGCGTTTGCTTGACAATTCTTTCTCCAAATTCCCTGGTTTTCTCCACAGTCTATTAACAATTGGAGTAGATATATTGCATACTCTAAACTGACTACATGCCTGAGAGTACATTAAGTGAATGGTTGTTTGGCTCTACATGTGACCATGTTATTGTTATCCCTTGTTCGATGACTGCTGTTATTGACTGCAGCCTCACTTTGACTCTGAGAAGAAATGACTGACCTCTGTTGTGTACAATGCATTTTTGTTTTCAGGCAATGGTGGGAATTCTGCAGGGCAAGGCTCGTGGAGGGGAAGAGGAGACCATCCTCATGCATGACCTCAAGCCTTTTCGGATCCTCATCAGTTTGCTGGACAAACCTGAGCTAGGTATATCACCAGTTAAAATATATAAAAATAACATAAACAACATGTTCTCTGGACTTGTTCTGATCACATCTGTCTGAATGCCTCTCTCCAGGGCCAGCAATCCTGGAGGATGTTTTGATTGAGGTGTTTCGGACTCTATACACACAGTGCCGGACAGAGCTTGACCTTCAGAACCAAAGTCCATTCAGCAAAGACCACACACACCTCAGCAGGTGAGTCAAGTACCATAAATGTAATCAATGACTCAATGTTGTTATAATTTGTGACGCATTACCTTCTTCCTCTTATGCCAGCAAATTAAGAGAAAACAAGAAAACAGCGGAGCTGATTAAAACAGCCAACCTGCTGTTCAACTCCTTTGAGCCGTACTACATGTGGGACTACATTGCCCGCTGGTTTGAGGAGTGCTGCAGGTTTGTGTGTACAAAGAAATGTCTACATATACACACGAGGGCAACATTTGCTACAATAACAACCCTGTCTGTTGACAACTCACCAGATAACTTGGTCACACACTGGTATTAAAAATTGTTACTACAGATGTGATTTTAGTGTAACACTGAGCATTTATAGCCAATTGTCTTATTTTTTAAAATATGTTAAATGATAAAAAACTGTGATTAAATAGTCAAACTCTGCTGCAGGAGGACGTTGAACAAAAGCACACGGGCACAGCGGCCTTCTGGGACTTTATATTCTCCTGAAGTCTCATTGGTGGAGTTCTGTCAGCTGGTCGATTTCCTATTGGATATTGTTTCCTTGGTGAGTTTGGTCTGTCTCTCTTTTCTTCTGTTTCTTTTTTCTTTATTTTTCTATTTTTCATTTGCTTCTTACCTCTCTCTTTTTTCATTATTTCTTATTCCTTTTTTGTCTCCCTTTCCATGTCTTCAAATTCTTTCTTCTTTCCTTCCATTATTCTTTCCTTTTTTCCTTTTCTGGTCATGTGTCAATTCTTCCTACTGTCCTTCAAGCTCATGTTTAATCTCTTTTCTGTCACCGTTCATATCAGTACCAATACTAAACTTTACCAGTGCAGCTTTTACCAATTGTTTTTTATATATTCTTATTTTCATGGTTTATTTTCTTTCCTCCCCTACAGTCCTCGTCCTTCACCCTGGCTCATGCTTCATCCTGTTCTCTCTCTCACAACCTCATGGCTCATACGTCTCATTCTTTGATCCTGTTTGTTCTCTGCAAATCACTTTCATAACCATTAACATTTCGGCCATAATTCAGTCTAAAGTTTTCCCAACTGTTTTTCTGGATCCATTAATGAGATATTATGACCTCCATCTGGCTGTGTGTGTTTGTGTATGTGTGTATGTACATGTTATGTCCCTACACAGAAACATTTGTCCTGTATTTTGTTCCTCTGCCAAATGTTTGCCTTTTCTGGAACTGTGCAGAATTTCCAATCTAAAAAGTTTGGAAATTACCTACTTTTTTATGTGTCTGGGTTTATATTGAGTGATTCAGAGTGTCTGTGAGAGCGAGAGATGGACGAGTGTTGTTTTTCTGCCAACAAATAGTTGCAGCCTCTGCTTGCTCCTATCTGTTCAAACTCTCTGCTCTTTCTCCCTGAAGCCTACTAGAAGCATGAGGGTAATCTGCCAGGTAAAGTACTGCTCTTTCCGGCGTTTGTTTTCACCTCAAACCTGCTTCACTCAGGCTGTCACATTTATGCAACATCCTTAACCATTTTATCAGTTCAACTCTGTACAGTACAACTTTCAGAAATTCTGACATGACTGTTAAATACAAAATTCTATTTTATATCCCAAAAAGACAGCCACTGCCTGTAGCTAAAATTTAACCCGGTGTGATGGTGTGGATGTTGTCAAAGTGAAATCTCAGCTGAGTGTGTAGGTGCTTTTATTTTATGAATGCATGAAGTCATATGCTCTTATTTTGTAACAGAAATATGAGCATATTATTGCAATATTGCTTCTCCCTTTTATTGCATTATATTTTGGGTAAATACATAAAGATAAATACACAAATTAGATAAATACAGGTTATGATCATTGGATTTGTATTTATCCTAGAACTAAATAATATGCTTACTAGATAATTATACTAGATAATATGCTTACCATAAATTAGGATTATTTAAATCTCATGCCAATGAATATTACAATTAAACAATACAAAAATGAGATAAGGTCCCTTAAACTAAATCAGTATCAAATTAACTCTGAAGCCATAAGATTAGTAAATCCACGTAAGACAAAAGGAATAAATGTCTACTAAGAATTATTGGGTCCCTTTAAACTTAACATATCCCAGTGTAATTAAATTAGAATTTCAGTTCCTACTTTATAGCAGATACCTTCTATTTCTGACATTTCTGTTTTTCTGAAAACCTCCAGGAGACGTACATAGAAATCCAAACAGAGCACCTTCCTCAGCTGCTGCTGCGCATGGTAGCAGCCTTGACCTGTCATCTCCAGGCCCTCGGCCTTGGCGAACTCACCCACTGCCTTCGACTCTGCTCCAAGATCCTCAGCAAAGTTCAGCCACCTCTGGTGTCTCCTTTGTCTTTGCCCCCGGGTTCACAGGGTCAGGATCAGGATCAGGTTCATTCCACTTCTAATGACAACTCGTCAAGGTCTTCTAGAGAGGGCAAAGAGGAAGAAAAACAGGTTTTTCAATTTTATCAACATTCTTTCCTTCTCACTTAGATTTTAGGGTAATCAGTTGATAATATTTGTTTTTAATTGTATCTGGGCTTTTGCTGTCTCATTGTGCATGTATTAAATAGCAAAATGTCCTGGCTGCTATTAAAAACATAAATCAAACCATTATATTTACATAACCTCCCCCAAAGGTAATTTTAACTTGAAAGTCATGTTCACCATTACAACTGACAGAAATAAAACAATGACACACGAACAAATACACTTTAACTAAGTAGACCGAGTCTTTAGTTCATTGTTAGTGAAAGGGCATGATGAGACTGGACATTCATTTATTTATTTATTTTTTATTTGTTTTAACAGTCTTCTCTAAGGGTCTTTTTTCACTTGTCCTTTGTCCTCCTACAGACTCCTTCTGCATCTCTGGCACACTCTGACAGTGGAGATGTCCCTGAAGATGGACAAAATCCTCCCAGCAATTGCACCACAGAGAGTAGCTTCACAGACTTTGTCCATTACAGTCAGGATGGTCCCCAAGCAGAAAGAGTCCTACAGCCAAACCCAACGGCCAAAACTGGTTGCCGCTCCTCAGGCTCATCCCAAACCAAGACTGTGGACAAACCAGTGATGCAGTGCTGCCTGGAACACTTTCAACAATTTCTTTCCCGACTCATTAGCTTGTACATTATCCCTGGACATTCAGATGGAGCTGATTGTGCAAAAACAGAGATCCTGCATTCTGGGCCTGTAGTCTCCAAAGGCCTCCAGCACTCTGATTATTCTGAATCATTATCAGAACCGGGTTTAGTCCAGAGAGAGCGTGTTGCTGCTTTCACTGCTGCCTGTCAGCTTTTCCTGGAATGTTCCAGTTTCCCTGTTTATATTGCAGAGGGAAACCTCAAGTCCTCAACCACACAGATGGAGCAGTTTGGTAGGATGACAAAAATGAAAACTTTGCCTCTTATGTTAATTATTTCCTTACACGTAATTGGGCCTATTTTTAGAATTAAATTGAATTAATTAAAATGTAATTAAACTTATTGTCTAATATTGCTGAAATGTATTTAATCCCTACAGACAGCGAACAGTTCCATCTGCCAATGTGGCTGCAGACTCTGATGGACGCCTGCTGCCTGGCCAGTGACTTCTGTCTGCAAGGCGCAGCCATCTCACTGCTCATGGATCTCGTAGGCCTCACCCAATCCGTTGCCGTGGTGACAGCAGAGAGTGTTGCATCTGCTGACAGCGCAGATTCGTCCCAGACCATGAGTCCCAGTCAAGGTCGAGTAGCTGTCATCATCCGACCTCCACTCACTCAGGGAATCCTCAAGTACATGGCTAACAAGACGGACTTTTTCAAGGTAGGCTTTAGATACTTTGGTGTCAATTCCAGCCCTGGACTGGGTCTATGTAATTATTGCAACAGGAGCCCAAGTCAAGAGCTGCACATGGCTGATATTTAATGATGAAAATATTCATATCAAAATTCTTTTTTTTTTTTTACAAAAAATATTCTGACACTAGGACAGAGCATGTTCTTTAATACTGTATATGTTTTATGTTCTCTACTGCCCTGTTTATCACGTGTTAAATACAACCTGGTTTATTAGTGCATCGCCAACAAAATCTAATAATTTGCTTTCAGCATTTTAACACACGAACATTGACAAACAAACAAATATTTAATATTAATAATCACATATTTTTATATGGCGAAAAAACGAATATACTATAGACTTAACTTTAAAAAACATTCGTACTACTCTTTAGTATACTTGATTCAGACTTTTATTTGTGTGAAAGTTTCATATTAAAAGATTTAAATTCAAATGACTATAATTAAGTAATTATGAATTATTATTCCCTATGCTGTCTTGTACAGAGAGTTGCGATAATCCTCTGGGACCAGTTGAGTGAAGGAACTCCTCAGCACCATCAACGCAGTGTGGAGCTCTTCTACCAGCTCCACAATTTGGTGCCATCCTCTAGCATCTGTGAGGATGTCATCAGTCAGCAGCTCATGCACAGAGACAAGGTCAGCACCGTGTGAATGAGATGTTGAGATGTTAACAAAAACACTCAGGTTACAAGGTTTATTCATAAGCATGTTGTCTTTCAGAGAATTCGCTTGGAGGCCCATGTGAAATTCTCTGTGTTGTGGCATTTGACACGAGATCTAAACATTACGAAATCCTCTCCTTTCAGTCGCACATTTGACAGGTAGGTTGAGATCTGTTGATGACATGGGAATAGTCTTTATTGTCTAATAACTGTAGTTTGTCATTTCATTATTGTTTTTATTATTTTAATTATAATTTATTATTATTATTAATTTCTCTACATCTTTCTACTCTCTTCTGCAGATCTCTTTTCATCATGCTGGACAGCTTGAGTTACTGGGATCCATGTACCAGTGCTGTTGGCCGGGCCTGGTTGAACCAGGTCCTACAGAGACATGACATTGCTCGGGTTCTTGAGCCCCTTCTGCTGCTCCTGCTTCACCCCAAAACACATCGAGTGTCAATTCAGAGGGTACAGGGCCAACGGCACTGGGCCCAGGTCTTTCCAGAACAGGATCCATTAGATCCTATGAACAACAGGGACTCCGGTTTTACAGACAGTAAGCAGTTCCTCCTCCTCCTGGTCTTGTCTATCAGTGCCTGTGGACATTCAGTTTTATTTATTTTTTGTCTGTGTTTGTTTAGATTTCAGTGACTTTAATGGGGAAAGAATCACAGAGGAGGTGCTTCGAAGCCAAGCCATGGGTGACATGGAGCCTTTCTGTCTGACTGTTAACCCTCTTAGTGACAGCTTGTCATTGTTAAGTTTGAGCAGTGAGAATCTACAACTTGCTGGAGATGATCAGGTGGCTGACCAGCAGGTGGAGCCCCACAGCTCTGTGTCCAGTGGTTCTCACTCATCAACAGTGGAGAATTGTAGCTTTGAAGAACAGGTTGTGTGCTCAGATCAGCAGCCTGGTTCTTCAGACGACATGTCTGTGGACTCTATAGAGGAGGTTGTGACCTCTGTTATAAATGAGCTGATCGACAGAGTTATGATTGTAGCTGAAGAAGGAGGTCTTGAATCTCCATCCCCACTTGAGAACTGGCCACAGACTGACACAGATAGCATTTCCTCTGATACCTCAACTGGTGTTCAAGTGGACTGTGCACCGCTGTCCAACTCCAACCACCAAACCCTGCCAGAGATGCTGGCTGAAGGAACATTAGAGTTCCTCTCTGTCACACCAGCCGAGGGGCAGCACAAAGAGGGCATCACCCGTCATAGTTCATCTCCCTCTATCATCACCTTGCCAGAGAGCTCAGACCCAAACACTCCAGACCACAACCTGCAAGTGGATGACACTCAGGCCCGTAAACGTAGCCACAGCAGCACCCAACTGAGTCTCAAAGGGAAAATCATGGAGAGACTGGCTGACAAATCCCCAGGGGCAAAACCGAAGATCAAAAAGACCAAGAGAAAAGAAGAAGAGAGGCAGAGGAAGGCTGGGAATAACTCTGACAAACTGAGACCGCCCAATATTTTCTTTGGAGACAGCTTGGATCTGGAAAACTGGTACAGTTGTGGGGAAGGAGAGGTGTCAGAGATCGAAAGTGACACTGGTTCACCCAGCACTGGTCCTGGTGGCAGTGTTGGAGGTGTCAGTGGTACAGGCCGTAGACCGTCTTCTGCTGCAGCTCGTTTCAACATACATCCTCTCTACCATCACGTTCTGCTCTACCTCCAGCTGTACGACTCCTCCCGGGCCCTACATGCCCTGTCTGCCATTGCAGCCATGCTAAAAGCTGCACCTTCAGGGTTTGTAAGTGCCATCTCCACCACCAGCATCAACAACACTTACACGCCGCAGCTCTCTCTGCTCCAGAACCTCCTGGCACGCCACAGAGTCTCTGTCATGGGCAAAGACTTTTACTGCCCCATCCCCCAGGACTCCCACTCCCACTCTTTTCGCAGCGCCATGTATCTGGAGATCATCATCTCACTTTGTCTATATTATCTGAGGAGCTATTACTCTGCCCACCTGGCAGCAGGCCCTCAGGACCTGGCTGGGAACCGAGCCATGCAGCTGACCAGTGTGGAGGTCTTATCTGTCCTCTTCAGTGAACTTTCCAAAGCCACTGGTGGTTCAGCTAAAGGGTTTGCTAGTTTCATCAGTGATGTCTTGTCAAAATGCAAAGTTCAAAAGGTGGTCCTCCACTGCCTCTTGTCCTCTATATTCAGTGCCCAGAAATGGCACGAGCAGCGTGGGGCAGGGGTCAACATGGCAGCAGTGGAGGAGGGTCTGTCAGAGGACAGTGTCATCAATCTCTCTGAGGACCAAATCGACAGCTGCAGTGCAGTCCAGGCCCAGTTACTGAGGCTGCTGCAGAGCCTCGTCGTACTGGAACACAGGATCCTGGTACCGGCTGAGGAGGGTGGAGACGGAGTGCCTGTGGGAGCAGGGGCAGGAGGTGGAGGGCCGGTGAGCGGTACAGGGGCAGGTTTTGAGATTCTGGGTGGTGAAGTGGAGCATGTCAACCCTCAGCAGCCCATGACATCACTGCAGTACCTCCACGGACAGCCAATCACGGCACAGGGTATGTTCCTGTGTGCAGTGATCAGGGCGCTCCATCAACACCACGCATGTAAGATGCATCCTCAGTGGATTGGACTCATAACTACCACACTGCCGTACATGAGCAGAGTGCTGAGGAGGGTGGTGGCCTCCGTCACACTGCAGCTCTGCAGGAACCTGGACAATCTTCTTCAGCAGTACCGATATGAAACTGGTATCACTGACACCAGGTAAAACCCCCTAGATTAGTAATCCTGATTGAAACACTATTTGGTTACTTTAGTTAGACGTTAGGAAGAAAATTTAGATGTTTTTATATTTTTGTAAACAAATAAAGAGTACTTTAATTTGTACCTATTTTATAGACCTCAGTGGATCGCCCTCTGCATACCACCTGACCTGATTCTTACAGTGTTGGAGGGAATAACAGCCATCATCCACTACTGTCTGCTGGATCCCACTTCCCAGTACCACCAGGTGAGGGAGCTATACACCAAAATATTAGAGAAGCTTGACAGTTGACATGAAACTGAAAAAAAGGAATTCAAAATAACACCATCTTTATTGTTCTTTACATATTCATGTTATTTATTCACAGTAGGTATTAGTATCTGTATATGCACCCCTTGCTTGCATTGCGTTGTCCATGTTTTATATTTGACTAAAGCCACAGTTTTCCTTTTAGTTACAAATGAGAGTGGACCAGAAGCACCTGGCTGAGGCTCGCTCAGGTATCCTGTCCATCCTTCACACAATCATGTCATCTGTCACCCTGCTGTGGAGCATCCTCCATCAGGCAGACAACTCTGACAAACCAGCTGCTGCATCAGCTGCTTCAACTTCCAACATCAACCTAGGATCTACAAAGGTAACATCACGAGCACTACCTTAAAAGGGTTGGTTCAGTATCTTCTAATGCATGTCCATGTTTTGTTTTGAACCACTTTCAGAACATTTCTCAGCAAGTTATAAAAATCTCTCTGGATTTATTTAAATTAGTTAATAATAATTCTACTGCTTTTAACTAACATAACCAATATAGTATAATACATAATATAATCTATTTTGACCTTGGGTCTGTTTTTGAGTTAGTGCTGACTTGAGTTTGTCACTGTAAACAGCAGAAAAATACTGCATAGCTTCATCAACGTTCACAACAACATAGCAACCTTCTTACGTAGTGATTTAAAATCTGGCTTGTTAAATTTTGGCAGTTCCAAGCTTTCCTGTAAAAAAAAAACCAAACTCTTAGCTGGCTCCATCTGTCAGAAGATACAGTTTGCCAAGATGCAGAACTAACAGAATCCAACATTCCTTGAATTTAGGTATAACATTTAAGATTTTTAAGCCTTTGTTTCTGCTTATAAGATTCCTGCGGTATCCTTTTTATTTCACGCAGTGCATTGTCTAACTGAGGTCCTCGTTTTTATATCAGAACCTACGTCAGCAAATACTTGAGCTACTTGGTCCAATCTCCATGAACCATGGAGCCCACTTCATGGCAGCCATTGCTTATGTTTGGAATGAGAGAAAACAAGTGAAACCCCCAGTCAGAAACAAGGTGGGTGATTATAAAAAACCCAAAATGATTACTAATGTAAAAGTTGCAGACCATTCATCTTCCTGTTGGCAGGATTTATTCTGATATTGAACAACTTTTGAACATTATGCTAACAAAGTATACATCACAAATTGCAAACACTATACTTTTGTGCTGTTTGCCTTGAAATGAATTGTATTATGGTTGAATGAAATTTATAACTCAGTACAATACCATATTTCATCTAGGTGATTCCAGTAGCCAGCGAAGAACAGCTGCTGCTTGTTGAACTGGTTCGCTCTGTGAGTGCCATGCGCACAGAGACAGTAATGCAGACGGTCAAAGAGGTTCTGAAGCAGCCTCCTGCCATCGCCAGGGACAAGGTTTGTTTTTGTGCTCTTGATGTCATATTTCCTCAAAGCACACTTTATTTATGATCAGACACTTATTTTAAGTTTATTTAAAAGAAAATTCCATCATGAATTACTTTAAATGAGTGCTATTTAATTAACTTAAGATATAAGACTAAAACATATGAATTAGTTAAAAGACATTAAACAACAAAAACCTAAACTATATCTGAAGCAGGAGTTTAGCCTCAAATACAACCATTTATAGTTTTCAATTGTAATCTAATTTTGCTGTCCACATTTAGTTTAATAATTTCTGGATTTTTGTTTTTGTCCTTTACCCACAGAAACATCTTTCTCTGGAGGTCTGCATGTTGCAGTTTTTCTACGCCTATGTCCAGAGGTAAAATCTTTGATTTTTCCACATGGTGGGCTTGTCCACCATGTGCAAAGAAATTTTACTTGGTTTGTTTGATTGTACACTGTTTTTTCTTCTCAGGATTTCTGTGTCCAGTTTAGTTGACAGCTGGCCGTCTCTGCTGGCTCTATTAAAGGACTCTGTACAGTTAGGCCTCCCTGCACCAGGACAATTTCTCATACTGGGGTGTGTTCTTCTACTTGTCTCTGCTTTGCTGTAATATTTGTCTTAATATACTTAAAACTGTTCTACATAGTTAGTCTTACCCAAACTGAATTGTTTTCTTTTCCAGAGTACTTAATGAATTTATTTTAAAGAACCCCAGTCTGGAGAGCAAGAAAGACCAGAGAGAACTGCAGGTAATTAGCCTAGCTTTCCTTATCTATTAGCTAAGGTTACACTTTGTTCACTTGAGACAAATTAGTCTTGAAGACAAGAATTCATTGCTCTCTTGTAACAATTAAGTATCCTGACTAATAGCTGTTAACATACATATCCATGTTCACTTTGTTCGTAGGATGTAACCCATAAAGTGGTGGAGGCAATTGTGACAATCGCTGGCTCCTCCCTGGAGCAGACCACATGGTTGAGGAGAAACCTGGAGGTGAAACCATCTCCTCAGATAGTTGTGGATGGAAACAATCTGGAAGCTGATGTGGAAGGTTTGCTTTCATACAGTCAAACTGTACACTAGTTATTCACACCGTACTTAACTAATATTTGGGATATTTTTCTGCTGGTGATGTCAACCCCATGGAATCTCTGACACTGTATCCACACAAAACATGCATGTGAACTGGTTTTCCTAATGGTTTACATGCATCAGCACCAGAACTTTAATGAGCTACTGTGAATATTTGCTCTGTGTGTTTTTCAGATTTAATGCTCACAGTGATGGAGGCCTCCAGCTTCACTCCATCCGTGTACAGCGTTCACGCCCTCACACTGTTGGCTGAGGTAAAACAAAAACAACAACAACTTTGTGATTTAGCTCAACACGTCCTGCTCTGTTGTAAGTGCTCAAGCCGTCAGTCAGTGGCCGTTCCACTGTTTTCCATTATTCATTTTAATTTTCTCACTGGATGCCGCCCGTCAAAATCACCAGTGGTGTTTTAGTTCTGTCCTCTGAACACAGCCCAGCAGTAAACTAACTACACAGTACATTTCATTTGAGCAGTTTACAGCTGATGAACAACCTCCTCCACGTCTCTGATGTAAATCGTTATGAGTAAACCAATAAATCACAGGGCGGTTTTTCAGCTCCATGTGCTTTGAGCTGAACCAGGCCATAGATTGAATTGACTGCGTTTTCTTTAGCTTAGTTTAGAGTTGATAGCTGTGCTTCACTGATATCTGCAAATTTATTGATAAATTCCGTGTCAACAAAACAATGAATTTTAGTGCTGTGTCTCTTACGTGCCTCATAGTCAGTTGTAATATTTTGTACATCAGTCACTGTTGCTTTAAAGACAATTTATTTACAGGGGGATTTTAGGAAATGTGTTTCTGTTTTGCAGGTTCTGGCTCATCTCTTAGACATGGTTTTCTACAGTGATGAGAAGGAGAGAGTGATCCCACTGCTGGTTAATATCATGCACTATGTCGTGCCCTACCTCCGCAACCACAGGTATGAACAAATTTCAATTTATTAGTCATTTATTAGTCATTAAAGACCAAACTTAAATATTTGAATCTTCCATCCATTCTTGGCAGATTAGGAATAGTATTCTTGTTATTGCTTACCTAAAAATGAAAAATAATATTCTTACTATGTCCCAATTTAAGCTTTTTCTTAGCCATCCTTTGGGTGTTATTGCCTTGTTTTGAACTATTTGTAGTTGTTTTCTTACAACCATTGCAAGTGAAATTTGACAAAGAGGCTAGAATGATTTTTTAAAATGAGTTCTAAATCTAATGTTTTTGCTGTTTTTACTATTAGTGCTCACAACGCTCCCAGCTACCGGGCCTGCATCCAGCTGTTAAGCAGCCTCAGTGGGTACCAGTACACACGGCGTGCCTGGAAGAAGGAGGCTTTTGACCTCTTTATGGACCACACATTCTTTCAGATGGACTCGTCCTGTGTCAGTCAGTGAGTAGCACAGCGGCCGTTCAGGTAGTAGTCAGAATAAATCAGGAGGTAAATCTAGTGTATATCAATAAAATTACTGCATGAAATATTCCTACTACTCTTAATCCATAAGTATCGACTGTAAAAATATTGTCTCTCACTAGAACCTCAAGTGTAAAATATTTCAGCTTCTTATTTTTGATAGTAATGGCTTGTAAGTATTCTGTGCCATATGTGATCATTTGTCTCTGTATTTTTAAAGGATTCTGGTTCAGTATAATTTTTCTTTTTTCTCAGCTGGAGAGCCATCATTGACCACCTGATGACTCATGACAAGACCACATTCAGAGACTTAATGAGTAAGATTTATTAGACTCTCCAGTGGAGTTGATTTTAACACTTAAGTTTTATTAATGAAATAGTTTACAGACCATGTATTAATTAATTTTGAATTTATTGACACTTTATTGACACATAATTTCACAAAGAATTATTCCAACTTTTCTTAATCAAAAGGCACTTGTACCTCTGTTGTAAATAAAGCACTAATAATTAATTTTGAATTTATTGACACTTTCTAAAATCTTTGATAAGAATTATTCCAACTTTTCTCATAATTAAGGCACTTGTACCTCTGTTGTAAATAAAGCACTAATGTGACAGAGCGTGAGGTCATTAAAAGGTTCTGGTCATGCACACAGTTAAATAACAACGTGTGTGTGTATTTTGTGTGTTTTTCTCCCTCAAGCTCGTGTGGCTGTGGCTCAGAGCAGCTCTCTGAGTCTATTCACTAACAGGGATGCTGAGCTGGAGCAGAGAGCCATGCTTCTCAAACGCCTCGCTTTCACCATCTACAGCAGTGAAGTGGACCAGTACCAAAAGTACCTGCCAGATATACAAGGTAGATGAGACAGCAGTATAATTGAGCAAAGTGTTGTTATTAACATGTGGGGTAAAAACACATGCTAAACTGAGGGGCTGTTTGATTATAGCCACATTGGTCTTGCACCATCATCACCTTTGACCTGTTGTGTCTTATGTACTTTTTTTTTAAATTTTATTTCTATAATATATTTTTTATTCTAGTATTTTCTTTTCCCTGACTTTTTTTCATGCTCCTAGCTATCTGATGTTTGCATTTTAAAGTTGTATTATTTTTACATTCCTTTTAGCCAATATTTCCTGTACCTATAGCAGCAAAATTAACAAAAAGGTTGACTTTGACTTTTGAATTTGTGGAACAGTTTTTTTTTCTTCTTCTATGTTTTACCACTTCAGCTCAGCAGGTGCTTAGATGTTTGTTTGTGTTTTCAGAGCGTCTAGTGGAGAGCCTGCGCCTTCCTCAGGTCCCTATCCTCCACGCTCAGGTGTTTCTTTTCTTCAGAGTGCTGCTGCTGCGAATGTCACCCCAACATCTCACCTCCCTGTGGCCCACTATGATCACTGAACTGGTACTAATTGCTCTCGGTGACAATATGACAGAAATATCTAGGCAGACTGACTGATACATTGTTGTTTTAGGTTCAGGTTTTTCTCTTGATGGAGCAGGAGTTGACAGCAGATGAAGATATTTCAAGGTACTTTTCAGGACTGCAATCCTGGAACCTAGCACTTGATTTATTTAGGACTCCCTTGGTCTGATTTACCATTAACCATTTTCCTTTTTTCGGTATCTCCAGAACATCAGGACCCTCTGTAGCTGGGTTGGAGACTACATATTCTGGAGGGAATGGCTTCTCAACTTCATACAACAGCCAACGCTGGCTTAACCTCTATCTATCCGCATGCAAGCTCCTGGATCTGGCTTTAGCTCTGCCTCCTGAGAGCCTGCCTCAGTTTCAGATGTAAGTAACAATACGTATGAGTCTGATATGCTTTTCATGAACAAAGGGTCATTGAGGGACAGACGTCTTAATCCTTGTAACTCACTATGAAGATGGAGAAACTCCCAGCTGACAGACAGGAAAAGGAAGGGTACATTTTGGAGAGTTCTTGTTTTAATACAAAAAACACAGGAGAAAACTGGAGATACATACAGTGTGGAGTTAATTTTGGAAGTACTCCAGTCTGAATTCATCTACTGATGCTTCTCTATTTGATTAAACACAACGCAATGTCAAAACACAATCTTTCTGATGAAGTTGTGGTTCATTGTAGGTACCGTTGGGCCTTCATCCCAGAGGCCTCTGATGACTCAGGTTTGGAAGTGAGGCGTCAGGGGACTCATCAGAGAGAGTTCAAGCCCTACGTGGTCCGACTGGTCAAACTCCTGAGAAAACGAGCAAAGGTACAGTAAATCCACCACTGTTTAAATCTTTTGGCTGCTTCTTTCTTCAATGTTTGCTGTGTGCAGATGATTTAAGTGGCTAACCTAAGGACACATTGATATGCAACTAGATTTAAACCCTGATCTCATGTTGAATGCCAAGCTCTCCTCTTCCTGTGTTTATTAAAGTTTGTAATTATTTAATTTATACTGCAGCTTCCCCAAAGGCTTAATTATTTATTTATTTTTTTATCAAATAGAAAAACCCAGAGGAGGACTGCTCCACTCGAGCACTCACTTGGGAACCAGGTCATCTAATGTTGACCCTGTACGTCATCCGCAGCATGGAGCAGCTGCTGCCTTTCTTTAACCTGCTCAGCCATGTTTTCAACAGCAAAGTCAGTAGCCGCTCAGGTCCCGCCTTCAGCCACAATCCCACTGACTCCTCCTCTTCCTCGTTCAGTGGCCAAAAAGAGGGCCACAAGTTGGAGAGCCAGAAAGTGTTCTGGAGTCGAGCTCGACAAAACATTGAGGAGATGGTGGAGAAAGACTTCCTGGAGGGACTTATCAAGACGTGAGAATGGAGGAGGAAAGTGATAAACATGACAATTAACACATAACTGATCAAGCACTAGTGAAAAAACCCTCAACCTCTGTACATAACAGACCCAGGGAATAAAAGAGGGGGAAATAGATACATTTGTACATTTTTTCTATTTATAATGATTGTTTTACTTTTCAAAAGCCATTGTAAGTAATTTTAATTATTTGTATATATGGAGCATCTTCGAGTACAAACTTATAACATGTCATGCAAATCATTTGGGACAAAGTGAGGATTCAGTGCCATTCCATGTTGATGTAACTTAAATAAAGATTTATAACAGAAGGGAAACATGATTTTTTCCACTCTTTCTCTTATTGGAATTTCGCAGTCACTGACTGATGAGAGAATGTTTTTGTATCACAAAATGTTTTACAGTTAATTCAAAGTGAGGATAAAAAAAAGTATTTGCAGACCCCCACCACCCAGATGAGACAAAACCTGAGCTCTTTAACCACATACTATGTATTGAGAAAGGAGGTAGGGCCACAAAACTAAGAGAATGCCATACCAGGAGGAAAGACAGGGACACTGGAAAGATGCTTTAGTGCATCTGGGCCTGGAACCTGTCCTTGTAAAAATATACAGTAGAAGCATGCCTGTTGTGTGAATATGTGCTGCAGGGGGAAAAAAATAACCTTTTTGTTTCACATTTTATTTGCTGACAAAATTAAAAAATATTTTGAATAAAATCGTTCATGGCGGCCCTTTAGTGTTAGCCTGACCTTCATATCCTACTAGGAGAATCATGATGAAGCTTCATCACTGTTTAACCCTTTACATGTCCTCTCACGTTTTCTCGTCTCCTCCCTTACTCTCGCGATGATACCAAGGCTGCAGCGACGGTTGGCTGGATCTGCGTCATCTGACTCAGGAGATGGGGGCGGGGCGCTGACATCAACGCGAATAAAAATTAATTAAATAAATGAAAAGGATGCAAATCCCGTGCGCGCACCGCCATACTGTGACACCGAGGAGTCCAACAGGAGAGGAGCAAGAGGAGTAGGGGAAGGAGGTCCGGATAGTGGCGTGATGGTGCTGGTCAGGCACTGAGGATCCGCCACTGATGCACAGCAACTGACGGGCTGCTGCTGCTGAGGAGGATTATCCCGGAGGCTGGAGTAAGGAAAGGACGGAAGAGAGGGAGGAGAGGAAACAGCGAGCATCATCTGAAGAGAAAGAGGATAAAGCCGAATATCAAAAAACTGATTGAAAAAAAAAAGAGAAAAATAAAACCTGCGACGGGATTGCTTTTTCTGGATATCACTTTTTGCATTTCCACGATTAAATGTGATTATTTTTTCAGTGGATATCTTGGCCCTAAGAAAGCAATTCCAGTTGATTCTTCCAGAAACGCCCGCTGATGAAATGCATTAAGTGAGAAAATGTTTTCCTTTTTAGTGTGTTATTTTCAAACTCATGCCGTGTTTTATGATATTTTCTTTAATATTTCTCTGTCAATCTGGGTTACGTTTGTGATGTGTGTGCGTATGTGTATGCGCGTGCTTGTGTGTGTTGGGGGTAGGACCATATTGGATTCTTGATAGTCGAGCCTGGACTCCACGCTGAGAGAAGAAGAAAAAGAAGAAGATGTCGGGTCAGACACTGACAGACCGCATCGCCGCGGCACAGTACAGCCTGACGGGATCAGAGGTGTCCCGAGCTGTGTGTAAAGCCACCACACATGAGCAGACTGCTCCTAAGAAGAAGCACCTGGAGTGTGAGTTCAAAATCTATGGTGTTCACCTTCAGCATATTCACCTTCACTATGCAATCCATCCATCCATCCATCCATCCACCCAGCCATTGGTTCTACAGTCCATCTATTCTTCAGTCTTATCACTCTATCGTCCATCATCCATCCTGATATCAACCCCCATCCAAAGGTTTCCTGTACCAACTATATTTTGGAAAACTGTCCGTTAAGGAAAAGATAATGTTTGATTCTGTAGAGCTGCACTTTGAATTGATGGAAGAGATTTTCTGTTGGTCTGGTGTTTGCATGTTTTCCCTGTGTGAGCCTGGGTTTTGAACAGGCGTTCACGTTCCCTCCCACATTGCAAAATTTCTACAGCAGGGTGATTTTAAGAGGACATCTGAAGTTAAGTGCAGGTGTGAAAAGTTGTTTGTGGTCCTCAGCTGGATTGCCAACCTGTTCAGAGTGCATCCTTCCTAATGCAGAGATTGGTTCCACCTCCTTTACATGATGATTGGATTCTCTAAGTGTCAGTTTTGAAAATCAAAAATTAACATTAACACAGGAGTATAAATTGCAATTTATAGGTACTAAACCATCTGATTTCTCTAATTTGCTTTGGTTACAGACATCCAATTATTTTGATCCATTCTTGTCTGTAATTTTTGAGGAAGTAAAATGGCATCAAGCTCAAGCTGGCACTTTCAGAGTTTGATGTTGTGTCCAGACTGGAGAATTAAACAGAGTAATGATCAACGTTGAACCTCATCAGAACAAAGTGCAAAAATGACCCACTTGCCAAAGTGTGTGTCAGCACTTTGGTGATGCTGGAAAACTTCCCTTACAAATATTATTTTCTTTTATTCCATATACAAACAGAAAAGCAATCTTCCAACCAAATTAAGGATTTAAAACAAAATTCTGAAAATACAAATACAGTAAGATACGGACCAAGGACTAACTAAAATAAATGGATTTAAAATATGAAGAAAAATACAAATCCACATTCAAATGCACAAATTCGTCCCATGTGAAAGGCAATTGAAAAAAAAAGTATTTTTGAAAGTGATTTCAAAATATAGAGTGCTGAAGCCTGTCTGAACACCAAAGCAGGTCGGTCCAGAGTTCAGGAGTCGCAGCTGTAAAGGCTTAGTCCCCTGAGCTGTAGTCTGGTCTCCTAGTCAACAATAGGAGCTAATCAGCTGATCTTATAGAGCAGAGAAAAACGTAGACTGAAGTAACTCTGCTAGCTATGTTCAATTAGCTAGTTGACTGCATGAGTAGAAGATCCTCCTCCATCCTTGTGTAAATGTTCAAAGAAACAGAACAAACATCCCGTTTTTCAGTTTGTAGCAGTAACACTATCCCATCTTCCTTTCAATGACTGCTAGTATTTGGCTTCAGCTCCACTGCCACCCTAAGATGAATGAATGAAACATAAGACACACTTGCTCAGTTGATCCAGCAGGGATGATTCCCTGCAGCACTGGCCTTTGTGATGCCTCATAAGCCTTAAATCAATAACACGATGTTTGCCATGATTTAGGTGTCCTGTTTATTGGTTTTTTCAAGTTAATATCTAATAAGATTTCTACCAACAATTTAGAGAGAAACTAAATGAATAATAATCTAAAAACAACTGCCACAACTTTGGATATTTTAAATAGAATTCTCAAAGATTAACTAAAGTAAGGTTTGGTTGACTTCCAGATTTATTTGAAGCTTTTCGACCACTGTCTTCCATTATTTCAGCTGTCATTAGTTTGTCAGCCTGCTGCTCGTAGGATAGAAAAAGGGAGAAAGAGGGAGAGAGTGAGACAGATGGAGACAGAGTTATATTTTTTTGTACACAGGAAGTAGGCAGGGTGAAAGTGAGAGAGTGGTAGAGAGACATGCAGTAATGGTTTATCTGGCCTAAAATGAACCACTGACCATCTGGTCAAGGAATATCAACCATGTCTTACATACTCTGACCTCATAACTATTGATGTGCCTAAAATTTAAATTGAGATTCACAATAGTTCATGGAAATACCTGAACAAGCCACAGCCCATAATTAATTAAAATATAATCGGTACACCCCTTCTTTCAGTCTGGTCAAACATCCGTCGGTGACAGAACCTCAAAGTTCATTTATTTGTCTTATCCCTCAGGTGACTTCAATCAGTCGAGTCCATTAAATGTGTCAGTCAGGCAAAGTGATCAACAGTGTGCCATCAATACAGTAAAGGATCGATCTGCTTTTATCAGCCATTGATTCTGTTATGGCCCATGTCGTCGTGGCCCACGTCTGCAGGTCATGTACTGTAAGAATCAGGCAATGGAACATTAATGTTGATGAACTTCTGGTCACAATATTTTAGGTTTTTATCATGTCACCAAGTCTAAAAATGGCCTCTTATAGATACATGAGGTACATGGTCATTGGTCTGTCTCTCAGTTGATGGAAATTGAGAGGCATTAACGCTTAGTCACCAAGGCCCTGGACAGAGCTAATGAGGAAACATAATGACCAGGCATTGTTAGGCTTTTTGATGTTGATCAGATTTATGGAAATGTAAAGGCTAAAAATAAATTTGAATCATTGCACTGGAGGGTTTTGTCCCTGGTGGCAACTAGATTGTCACGTGATAAAACTAAAGATGAATAGTTGACAGTGGATGATGAGGGCACAAAGGACAGCAGGACAGCTGGTAAACACTGTTCTCTGACACAACAATGTAAACAGGTGCTGACAGTAGTAAGGAGGAGTTCCTCCTCATAGTTGAGTGTGACTCTCACTGTGTGCCTCAACTGATTCATTCTCTGCGGTAGAGCTGAGTGAGTCATCGTGGAGTTTTGAGAGAGTACGGATCAATTTCTTGTGTTTTTTGGACACGAGCAGGAAAGAACAGGAGGACGTGCAGCTGTGATGCATGATATTTTCAGGACATCAGGATAATAACAATTAACCAGAAAGGACACTAGCATTTCACTGTGGCAATAACCAAGGATGCCACGTGTGCATGGCCAGCATGGTTCTTAAGTCGTGTTCGTGCCATAAATAAAAAACTGTATCAGTGAAGGATCAGGATGAGGTTTTTGATGCTGGATGTTTTTTTGCTCTGGTCATGTTCCCTAGAGTTAATGCAGAAAAAATGATTAGTCATTTGTGTATTATAGCAATGTGTCCTGAGCCAGAACGTTCTACAGCTATAGAACACGTAGCTTGTTCTCTTATATTCCCATGTCTTCACTGACAAAGATAATGTATGTATGCCACACAATTTGCAGCATGTAAAAAGCATCAAGGTGCCACGTGGCCTAAAGGTATTCGTTTTGCTCCATTAGCAGCACTTTGGAACAATTAAAGTTAACTGTCCTTGACTTTTTCCACAGGTAACCTTCACCTTTATATCTTTATATTTTAGGGAGAAGAGACTTTAATGGGTACATTTGTTAGATCTGTATTTGTTGGACTTGGAGATGCTCACATTACATTCAATAAATGTAGGAGTAAATGTATTTCCTTTTGATGTACGTTATATCAGATGATGGTGGGTGTATGCTGCCAGTGATCATGGCGTTGATGTGATGCTACCGCTGCAGCTTCTGTTTGCACAGCAGTCGATCAGAAGTGTGTGCACTAAACTTAGGGTAAAATTTAATTGTGGATTTAGAATTTAAACATGTCCGGCCTTTACTGTATGTGTCTCAGGTTTTCATGGTAAAGGGGGAAGGCATTACAAGTCAATAACTGATACTAATCAAATCTCACACATTGAAGAGCTGCTCCTCTGGTTCAAACAATGCAAAAAAATGCTGCATATAGTTAGAGTATAGAATTGAGTATAGAATCTAAATAATGGTCCATCCACTCCTGTTCCTTCAATCATTATCTACAGTAAATAGTCATGACCTTTTAATTATTGGTCAGCACAAGTAATCCTTTGTAATATTTTGATTATTCAAATAAATAAAATGTGAGAGGACCTATGAGGAGTTTAGATGCTCTCTGTTCATTATTGCAGCAATAATTATCACCAGCTCTGCCCCAACTGTACTCACTCTAATTAGCAGTTTTGTTTTAACTGCAAAAATGCAATTAATACATGCAGGATATAAATCCCTGTGTGTGTGTGTTTGTGTGTTTCTTGTGTAGATGTGCATTACCAGCATGCTGCTAACTCCCCTTGGCTGCTACAGCACTGTTACCACAACATGAGTCACTGTCAATATGTTATCACTTTGGGGAGGCAGACTGTCTCCTGGCAAAGAGTGAATTAGAGGGAGGCTGCCATTAAAGTTATTTGAATATGGGTTCATAGGTCAACCTGATGGCATTAAAAACATGATGTCAAGTAAACAAGTATCTACCACTATTATGCAGAAACTATTATTTGGGATTTCTAAATTATTCTTAATTATTATGAAAATTGAATCATATATTTAAAAAAAAAAAACTATACTTAAAAACTATTATATTCAACCAAAGCCTGCTTAATGTCTTAGAAGGTCAGGCCCCATAACTGCTGGGATTGGTTTAGCGCCACCCCATGACCTGGATTAAGCAGTAG